TTTATTGTGGATGTATGATGATTTGTTGTGGATGTATGATGATTTATTGTGGATGTATGGTGATTTATTGTGGATGTATGATGGTTTTTGTGGATATACCATGATTTATTGTGGATGTATGATGATTTATTGTGGATTTATGATGATTTATTGTGGATGTATGATGATTTATTGTGGATTTATGATGATTTATTGTGGATGTATGATGATTTATTGTGGATGTATGATGAATTATTGTGGATGTATGATGATTTATTGTGGATGTATGATGGTTTATTGTGGATGTATGATGATTTATTGTGGATTTATGATGATTTATTGTGGATGTATGATGAATTATTGTGGATGTATGATGGTTTTTGTGGATTTATGATGATTTATTGTGGATGTATGATGATTTATTGTGGATGTATGGTGATTTATTGTGGATTTATCATGATTTATTGTGGATTTATGATGATTTATTGTGGATGTATGATGACTTATTGTGGATGTATGATGATTTATTGTGGATGTATGATGGTTTTTGTGGATTTATGATGATTTATTGTGGATGTATGATGATTTATTGTGGATGTATGGTGATTTATTGTGGATTTATGATGATTTATTGTGGATTTATGATGATTTATTGTGGATGTATGATGAATTATTGTGGATGTATGATGATTTATTGTGGATGTATGATGGTTTTTGTGGATTTATGATGATTTATTGTGGATGTATGATGATTTATTGTGGATGTATGGTGATTTATTGTGGATTTATGATGATTTGTGATGATTTATGTGGAGTGTATCTCTCACAAACACCTTTACATACATTTACTAACAAAAAATCCAAAGGTATCTGGTAACGTTCTTTGTGGGATACAATGGGATTTTATGTATCTGATGTAACAAAACATCTAAGGGTTCAACCAACAAGATCGGGTGTGCTAACTGGTTCAATTGACAAGAAGGGGTTTGCTATAACTTGGTGGTTGATGCGGTTGCTTGATCTCTGATGAAAAGCTAACAAATTGTGGTGATATATGTGGCTTTTACCCAATCTTTCAGAGTTGGGGAGTCAATCCTGTCTTACTACCAAAACGGGACAACTGAGATTTGAGCTCTAAAGAAGAAAATTGATGTTTACCCTGAGCATGGGAATAAATGGGAATAGATTGCGCTGCAAATAACGTCTAAAACGCTTTCGTTTCGGCGAGGTTCTACTGCTTGTCTGGTGCATTCCGGTAACAGGGAAATAATGATCCCTGCCAAACCAGGGAAAACAACCTTATCCATCATTGAATCATCAACCAACAACCATAGTCATATTATGTTCTATATACAATGTATATATATATATGTATTCATATGCATTCGTTTTGTTATATTCCCATTGTTCTCATCATTGCCGCATCATGATCCACCACCATGGTCAAAGAATACAATTGGCTGGTTAGTGCAATTCAAGTGTAGAGCCCAAGATCCAAACATATCAAAATATCAAAGTAGCCATTCAAGGTTTACCCCCAGAATATCACCACTAGCCATGAACCTTAGGCTGTTCACAAAATGGCTTGCTCCCACCTCTGACGTAGGTGACGCAATCGTCCACCACATCCTTCACTTCAACTACCGTGTGCCGGCTGCCTCCCAGTTGGCACATGGGGTACCAATGTCGGGCCCAAGTCTGCAAGGTTTCTACTCGCCTATTTCACCACGTTTACTATGGTTGAAACGGTAGATTTATGTAGCTAGAAGGTAAACGTAAACCAACAAACACAAGTGCTTGGCCCCAGATTGGGGCACCACATTGTACCAATGGATCAAACAATTTACAAGCTGCCTTTATAGTTGAGTCATAGCCTATGCCACAGCCACATGATTGGGGTGACAAAAACAACCAATGCCCACTGACGGTTTTTGACCCAGTCCATCACAGGCATACCCTCCGGTAACATTGGCTTGCTAGAACATCTTCAATTTACTGACATGTTTTTCCAAGCTAGAAACTTCCATTTATAGGGTATTACGGTATTTCTGTGTATTTCCCTGCCAGCCATGTTTGATGACACCGGAGGCTACTCATAGGGGATCATTCTCCAGTTGCTGACCATTTTGGTTGAACTTGACTGGGATCTAGTGGCCTAGTAGTGGAAGTGGCGATGAGGAAAAGACTTCCACGGCATTATGTCGGAATGAGTATCTACAAAACTTGACACTATATATCACTATATGTTCAAGGCTCTAGAAATGGGTCATGGTTTGGCCAAGAATGGTACCCTAAAGTTGCATGTCTGATGATCACATGCATTATTGGATCAAGATCTGATAGCTTGGATATTATCCATGCCCCGACCCGTGTCCCAAATGTCAGTATTTTAAGCGTTTGTTTCTCTTAAAATGCACTAATCTTTAATGATCTTTAATGCGTTTTGCTCAGATCTTCTATATTGACGCACACATATATTCAAATATATCGTTTCTGCTTCCATCCCAAAATCATCACGTGAAAGATGCGAAAGATCAGCCCATGAACCCAACCAAGGTTGCAACCTGCAACATTGTGAATTTCAGAGTTCATATATCCCCAAGCTTGCCGGTCAAGCCGAAAACTTTTTGTTTTATGGATTACATTGGCTTACCAGTATTCTCAGTATTCTCTGTAAAACATATGATTCTGAAAACCCACCATTTCTACTAGCAAACCCACAATGTGTTTTTGGGAATCAACTCCCCTGTCGCCCCTGAGGCTCGCCCCCACCTGCTTTCAGCACTCCAACATCTTCCTGCAAAACATCCTCTTCAAAGGCGTAGTGTGACACTGGCAGCCCATCAGCTCCTTACGGAAGCAGGAAGTACATTGTTTTTTGAAGGGAAACCATCTACAAAACATGGCTGGGACATATTGCATCTGCAAATGCTTGAAATGAGAATTCTACGATTTTTGTTGGTTTCATACGTGTTATTTTGTTCTATCTCTACCCAAAAAAAGAACCTAAGCGCAACTACTATAGTGATTTGTGGTGGATTTGTGACAGGTAAATTGATTCCTTGCAGTAGGCTTATAAGATGGTTTACGGTAGATATCTAGTTGGACGGGCGAACATAAACCATGCAACAAGTATTATAACTGGAGCTCCCCGCATTCTAGGAATGGTATACGGGAACGCCCATTGATTGTTGATGAGCATAAATAAAATAGTTAATGAATGTCAGTGAGGGTGTTCACCCTGATGAAGAATTATGGTGAAGCATCTAATGACTTCAACGGGTTATTTATAATCTGGCTCAACTGTCTCAATTGTAGTGAATCACCTGAAATAAGATGAAATAAGATGAAACATGCTCATTGGGGATGATTCTACCTACCAGCCATCATTCTTCATGAGGTCGTTGTGAGGTGGCTATGATTCAGTCAGAATGATGCGATTGCTGAGGAAAATGTGATAAATCATCATTGCCATAAAGCCAATAGTGCACACGCATTTGGACTCATTTAATGATATTGTTTGAATACATATTCTATATCATATCCCTCCTATAAAACCCACTGGTAAAGAGGTAATTGGATATTCCCCAATTGACGCAATTCTACCCCTTGGATCCATGTGGGGAGATTAGAAAAACCGTACACTCATCAAGTTTTGAGTGCTCCTCAAGAAAAAAATGGTTGGATGGAACATGTACTGGAAACCCACCCGAAAACCAAGTCTGCGATGTGACCCTTTGCCATTCCAGAGAGTATGGAATGTGGTAAGATCTAAAATAAACCGGGATTTGGTATGGCCCATGATCCTAACAAAACTGGTTGAGAGTTCACCGCATTCCTTGAAGAATAGGGATTACTTGTGCAGCAAAGGATAAAGAAAACATAGGGTTCAAAACCACAAAATGATTCACAAAGAAACAACCGGGACAAGCTGCTGTAAATCGAGAACCGGGGACGTGAATGTTACAACCCACCCCAACTGGGTCGAGGGCGCCTCACTTCCCAGCTGTCTGTACAGTAAACATCAAACCAACATACACCATAAACAGCGTCAACAACCTTTTTTTAGCAGCCAACACAAAAAAAAATAAAAGTGCCTACATGGCCATGGTCCAACCGGATAAAATAACTGCTCCTTGACCTCAGTTGACCCCAAATGCTAAAGGATTAAGAGGAAATTATAGTTTATGGTTCAATTGAGGTCCTAGGTTGTTGCTTAATGTTCACCCATCTTACTGACTAGATCTTCCTTTGCACCCATAGCCCAAACCTCGTGTGAAATAAACCTGCAAAAACTCGCAGCCAGGCACTGATGGTGTAGACACCTTCTTTCTCGATAGGTTCAGGCCAGCTGACAGGAGCATAGCAATGGTCCAGCAGGTGCAAGAGCAGCAATGAGCAGCTGCTAATCCTTGGGTGATGGGCCAGCAAAATCATGGGACTTTCATGGGCGAAGTAACCAAGGTGCTGCACGGCACGTGTGTTAGCTAAGTTGGTTTACAACTAGACGAACTAGGCTTTGGTCATGAAATAAACAGAGTTGGATGATGATGCAAAACCAACTGTTACGAGACAGCACCAAATTGTAGGTTTCTATTGGAAAAAGGCAAGGAATAGATAGGAATGTCCGTGTGTTCACATTTGGGCCTGTCTGAAAAATGGGAGGGGAACTGAACGGGATAGAGCGAGAATAATATTAAAAACAATGGAATATCCCATAGGATCCATGGTGCTGCTATATATGGTAACATGGATCCCATCAATATACCCCAGTCATGTTAGCATTAATCTACCAGCACCATGGATCCGTCATGGGAATATGTGGGATAGGTTTGTGCAAAAACAAGGCCCCATTTCATGGCCAACTCTCCAATTCTCACATGGTTCATGATTCACCGCTGGATGCCCAACGTGTGCCTAGGCTCAACATCTGAGGGACCTGGAAAGTCCAAAAAGGCTGAACCGAGCCGATTAAACGTGGGACGGTCTCCAGAAACATCTACATTTGCTGGCAAATACAACGGGAAAGGCCTTCTTCCCAACTTTTTAAAGCGTCTTTGGAACATCAAACCACTCATCAATCATCAAACACATTGTTTTTTTGAAAAGCAATCATCAATGATAAACTATTCCCCCTCTTTTTTGTTCTAATTGATAAAACCATCAGCCCAGCATCCCAATAATCATGGGATCTTGGTCGCCGTCCCAGCACATCACAGCAATCAGCAGCAAAAAACAGAAACGCTCTGCAAAGGTGGCCACTTCCGTGGTCAGAAAACTTGGAACCGCCATCAAAGTGCTGAAAGATAGGACCTTGATGTTCCAAACGTGTGGAAAATCCGAAAAACCAAACAGCTGAAGATACTAATTCCTGGAATTTCAGGTAGCTCTGAAAAGGAGCTCTGGAATCTGAAACATGGCTGGAACATCTCCCATTTATACATGATTTCCCCCTTCCAACCTCCATTTAGTTCGGGCATGTCCCGCTGGGATCCGATTCGACCACCACGGCCTGTGTACCAAATCGAGGTTCCCCCAAAATGCCAACTTTAGGGGAAACATCATGGGACGACCCCAGACATCCCCCATTAATGAGGATATATATGGTAATAGTATATAATATATATTATGATATATATAATATATAAATATATATATATAATATAATATATAATATAATATATATATATAGGTTGGAAAAATGGTTTAAAGATGCCCGGCTCCAAAAGAAAGCTCAAAAAAATATATGCATACTTCAATCCACGAACTTGCAGGTCAAACCCCAAAATACAGTTTAGTTGAGCGAAACATTGACTGCGGCATCTTGCCATGTGGAAATACCCTGATTGGTTTACCAATTGCACAAGTGCAGCACCACCTGCTTGGCAACCCATACCAATCCCCTTTCTGGAGACAAACAAAGGGAATACAATCAAAGGGGGAACAAAACGGAGGTCACAACCCATCATCAAAGGTGTTTTACATCATCCCACTTATACGGGTACATCTAGCATGGATTTCTTTTTTCGGGGGTGGCGATTATGGCATTGGGTGTGTCTCACTGTCCATATCACCGTCATAAAACCACACATTACTCTTATAAGCCTCATGTCCAGCTGATATCCCGAACTTCCAATGGTAAAAGCACATAAAAGCACAATGTCTTTTCATATATCCCAACACTAAACACTATCTAGATACAGTACATTGTATGTATATTTATCTTTATATACCGTATACTAAGTACCATGATATCTTCCAACTTCGTGGTATGTATATACATATATATATATATATAATAATAATAGATGTATGTCTCTCTAGAGTATTGATGCTGTGTTTACACAGGACCCCCGACCCGTTGCCAGAAAATGGCAGACCATCCAAGTTGCATTCCGGCGACCTAGATGAAAGCCTCGCCATCCAATCAAAACGGCCACCAGTTCATTCAACACCAGGCTTAGTTCCAAGGCCACTGCCAAAGCGAAAATCAGGAACTGCAGCCAGAGCCTAGGTACTTGAAACAACACTAATTTTCCTACTGAAGCCATCCTGGCAAGATGATTTGAACATATGGGGAAACTATGTCACTATGTTTTAGCATGTTTTAGCCAATATGTGAAAATTTCAATTAACGTCATTCATATCAGTTGGTGGGGTTGAAGTTCATATTGGAAGAGACCTAGTGCAATCACGCTAGAGCTCGAGAAGCTTCAAGTGGGCAACGCCGAAAAGAAGATTTACATATTCCCTAAATCAGCCAAACAATCAGTTGCTGATCCAAAATATTCCAAACAATCGAACCATACATCACCGTCTGAACCATGCTCTAAAACCCACTGATTCACGCTCCTCAAAATGGATGCTCAGGGGATGCATCATGATGATGTTGCTATTGCAAATGGCAATTGCGTATGGGTGTGTTATAGAAATTAAGGGCTTGTGATGATTGTACTGTCTGCCTTTCAATGTGGCTGAGACCAAAAAAAATGCTGCTGGTTTTCTAAACAGGCGGGTTCACATCCTCATCTTTTGCTGCTTCCTCTATCCCATTCTATCCCTACGGTATGTTACGACCAGGTTCAAAAAAATCACGTCAACTGGGTCAACTGGCTTCGTCGTAAATTCGCTTACCCACAAAAACATCCGGTGCTTTACCATGATTTTTCCCTTCAGAAACAGCCTGAAATTTGGGGTCTCCAGCCATGCTTTGATCAGCCAAGATGCAATAGATCCTGGTGATGCCTGGAGCTCTCAATGCCATGAACCAGGAAGCAACAGAGAAAGACCACCAGGGATCGACGATACTTCCTGATGCCCTGCTGCCGCACCGCAGCCTGCTGCAACGTGAAACAGCCAGCCGTATCAATTCCTTGCTTTCCAGAAAACTTTCTGTGTTGGTTTATACCAACATTTACCTATAATAGATTGATATATATATATATATATTAAATTTTATAAATATATCTACCATCACGGCATACTTATACTATTAATTATCTAGTGGATTGAATATCTTTCATCCTATATACATCTAACGATAATATTATCTACCCTAGCCAATTATAGTGGTTTGTATTCATAGTAACCCCAGCGAAGTAGGGCGGGACCATCTTGGCACTTAGGTCCCTTCCCGCAACCGGTTTTTGCATATATTATACATAAGGTACAATCAGCATATCTCGTCAAAAGTGAAACATTGCATTATCAAATTGGCAACGTACAAAGGCCCTGAAAAAGCAGCAACATCGGCCTATTTTTCACCGTTAAAATACCCAAATTGGGCCCTGGCCCTGCCACTGTTCACCTGTCCAAACAGATGATCCGTAACCGAAAGAGCCAGGCCGCATGGATGTCGTAGAAGTCGTTCTGATCCAATAAGGGATCGCTCAGCAAACTAGCCGCCAGGCTGGTGTTGGGAACGCTCACAAGGGCGGAAAGGAACGAACACATTACCTGACAGCTGCAATGGATCATGGAGCCCTCAGTTTCAAGGTACCCTAAGGTAAACGTACAAAAAAATGTGGAAAGCCCGTAAATGATCTACAAATGGCGGGTTTTCCAAATCTATGTTAGTTTGCAGGAGATAGCTATGTTTCCCACCAAAAAAGGAACATTTTTCTTGACAGACATGTGGAATTATAGCTGCGCATGCTGGTTTGTAAATAAAAAACTCTACGGTTTATGGGGAATCATATAGTTAGATGGAGTACCCTCTGATAATTTAATATAGCTATTGAACATGGCCCATTTATAGTTGATTTACCTATTAAAGACGGTGAATTTCCATAGCTTTGTAAGTTTACCAGAGGGTAGCAAGAACCAATAAAACACAACATATGATTTGTGGAATGGGGCTCGCAGCTGGTAAAACAAAACGTCACCATGAGATGTGGGGATCTCACCCGCAAAGATGTAGGATTTAAGCAACAAACATGGTGATTTAACTAAACAAAAAGAGTGTTTTAACTAATAACTAAAACAATGATGGCATATGATCATGTATATGACGGTTTGTCAAAATGTCTTCTCCTGGTTTGGCTGATAAATCTCAATTCCTTGCGTGCCGCTTCTTGTTTGGTCTTTGAAACTTTGACTTATCTAAATAGTGTGAAACCCTGCATTTTATCTTTCATGTTTGAAGCCGTAGCTAAAATCAGCAGTAAATGCTAACGCACGTCTATATGAAGTGGGTGCCGCTGCTAGTTATTAGTGGTGGAACTGGCATATGTTTTTGATCTGCTGCAGGGGTTGCCGTTGCCTTTGCTGTCACTGTTGCTTCTGTAAAACACACAGGGTAAACTACAAGTTCTCTGGTGGCGACTGGGTCACGGGTCAACCAAAGCCGCTTTTTAAAACTCTTGCTTGCGCATTGCCAGCGGGATCTAGCGGGTAAAATTACATACAATTTGCTGAGTAGCACAGAAATTCACTAAGACATCCTTAGGTTCAAGGAGCTAAGTGCTACATCTGGACTTTTCTTCATGTTGAAATAACAAGCAGTCAGAACACATAAAAAACATGTCCTTGAACATGAGTGTGAAACAAAACTAGCGCAAACCTAGCGCGATTGCTAGCGCTGCCTTGCAGAATTGATGAATTTAGTTGCGTGCTGCCTCATAACGAAGAGGAACAAACACTACAACTGGTACAAAACTTCTGTCAACTATTTTTGGGAAATGGTCATATGAAAAGTCAAGAAACAAATCACAACTACGTGGATGTCATCTCTGATCAAAGAAAAAAGGAATATCAAACCAACCCCAATGATGTTACGTTCGGATATGATACAGCATGCTCATGCCAGAACTTGATATAATTTACGACGTTCTAGAATATAATAGTAATGTGGTGTGTCACTGTGTCCACTATTTAACTAAAACATTGGATACCAATATGTATCATACATAGATATGTCATATATATATATATAATGACATAGAAATCTTATTTTCTAGATACAATATCATAGCCGGGAAACCAAATTGACCATTGTGCAAGCACTCAGCGGTGAACTGCGGCTCCCGAGGACAGAGATGGAGACGAAGAGGGTGGAGACACCCTGAAAGAGTCCTGCGTCGCGGGTCCCCGTGATCTCTTGAAACCCAGGTTTTTGGAGATGGTGAAACAGGGTGTACCATGGCCTACCAGCCGGAAAGAGGGACCCCAGATCGACACTCTGGTGACGCCTGGCAATGGAGATTCGCTCAGGGTTGGTTTCCCCAGGTTATTTTCAATCTGAAAGTAGTTCAAAAAAACTACACACGGACTGGCTATTTTGAATGGGAAACTTCGATGTGTGGACAATGTGGGGCCCCCAAGTTAGGTAAGTAGGTTATAGTTGGTTTATTTCACTAGGCAGTTTCTTTTTGGTACGAGTAGTTGGGTTTACCATCTGGCTATTTAACATTGCCATGGAAAGATCCACCATTTTTAAGTTCGGTAAACCATCTATTTCTATGGGTCATCTATACCATGGCCAACTGCTACAGTAGTCATAACCAGAGGGTTTTTGAGCTAAAAACATGGGGCCCAGAGATCCCTTGGCACTGGACCCCCATAGGCCGATCTGCAGTCCTTGCGCCCATTGACAGCGCCAAACTTCTGCATTTGTGAATCCTCTTTCCAAGGTTCCAAAAAATCCCATGGTCAACTTGAAATAAAAGTTGAGGCATGGTACAAAGATCGACACCAGAATGAGACTCCCATAGAAGGGAAGGCCATCTGCCAGCAAACACCAGCTCGCAGCGAGGGAGAAGATCAGCTCGCTGGCGGTACCAAGCATACTGAGGAGCATGCCTGGGTTGGGTCCTACTTGATGGGCAACACCCACAACCGTATATGTATATACATTGTATATGTTTATAAAGTATCATGATGTGTATATATACAAAATTGTATACATATATGTAACACATATGGTGCAACATCATCACTAGCAAGAAACATGTTTGAAATATCACAAACAATATGTGGGTCAAAATCTGCTGATGGCTGATTTCAACCCATCTTAAAAATGATCTCAGAAGAAGAAAGTCATTTGAACATCCGCTTCTACTAGGGGGACACCAACATGTGTTGTGCCTGTAGTGATAAACCAATGGGTTTGCATGAAAATAGTGTACCCCTCAATGCCAATGGATTATCACCATTTCCGACATGAAAAAAACAAACCCCATTTTCAAACACACCCAATTACCCATTGAAATTACCAACCACTGACATTGCCTATATCCTCATTTATTGGTGAATCAATCTCCATGTTCGATGATAAAATATGCATGAAGCCACAAAATGCAAATACAATCTGAGATACAGTGCTCAAGAAAATATCAGGGCACTTTATCCTCCCAAGATTACATGCCAAAAATCAAAAATCTAATTGTGAAACCAATAAAGACCATGGTTGAGCCAGATGCCTTTGCGGGCAGCTTCCAAATCACTGGCAGACATTGACTTGCAGAGATAGTCCACCTCAGCTCCCGGATATGGAAAATGGCCACATCGATCACCAACTGAAACATGCTGAGACACCAAATCACACCCAAACTTTCTCATGGTATACCCTCCTGCAATCCAACAGAGCAATTCGGAAATGCATTGAGACCTCTCACTTTTTGATCCCATGTTGGCAGTAAGACTACTAAGAGGAAACCAACAAGCTCTACCCGGGCTCAACTAACGTTGTAACCGCCACTACAAACTATCGCAAATGTGCATCTGATTGCGAACTTGTAGCGTAACATCAGTAAAATAGACGTAAGGTCGAACAGGGTACAGTGCACACATTCCACCGTGGTGATTTCGGCAAAAACACGTCCTGACTGTGGTCCATGCTGAGCCACAAAGCGAAGTTCCCCTTGATAAGGTCCATCAGCTCTGAAACACTGGACATCCGGCCACGTGGTCGGCTCCTGTGCGGCGACCACTTTGAAATTAAAACTCACCCATAACGCCGAAAAACAATAACTATACTTCTGGCCGGCTGGATTACATATCATTTGATGATGGTTTTTGATGCTTGAAGCAGCGTTTTTGATAGTTTAATCCCATACATTTCAACAAAAACATCACTGCTCACCTTGCAAAATGGCTAGTAAATGGCTCAACAATCAGCCTCCGTAATTGGCATATTACATGGGATATAACCGATTCGCCCCATGTCCTAACAAAAAGACCCATCCATTAAGATCATCGTCCGTTGGCGCCCAGCAACAAAAAGGTATTAATATAAATATAAATCAAAACCCAGATGTAGCCGTAAGGATCACCTGTGGGATTTTTCCCCTTTAAGCATGTAATATCAATGTCATATTCTCTTGGATAACATGCAAAAACATATTTGCAAAACTGGCTCGTAGTGTGCATATCTCCATTTATTTGCAAAGCGACTCAGTCGTACTTAATGACATCCGATCTTTTCTGCTTAAACCCACATGTTGGTGAAACCCGCGAACAAAGAGAAGCAATTTCCATCCAGTTGGTTGACATCACCATATCCATAAAATATCTGGCTATCATTCCACCGTACGTATTCACAATTCTAAAACATCTCTTGCATGGTTTTGGGTTTATGTTAAAAAATATTTTCACCGTATGAATATCCCGTGTCCTTTAGAACACCATGTATTCCCCACTTCCCTATGGATCCAAATACCTTCTGAAAGAGTGTTTTGTGCGTGATTTGGGTAGCAACATCCCTTGTTGCTAGTACATCCCTACCCTCTGAGAATCAAAATGGGTATGGAACATCACCATTTTGATAGCTAAATGATCCAATTCTATGGGCCATCTAAAACTCTATACCATAGCAAACTGTTGGTTACGGCCAAATGGTACAAGGTGGTTCCCTACAGTTGCAGAAGTTGGCAAACATGCCTCCAAGAAACGCTAGCTTTATTGTAGATATATCTATTACGGTTAGATGGGGTTTCAAAAACCAACAAACATATATTATATAACTATATGTAAAGGGTCATAATCAAAGGGATCTTAACAGTAAAGCAACAAACTTACCAAACCAAAAAATGAATTTTAGACTATTGTTATCTATTGCTACAAAAAAATATAAATAGAGGCTATAAAATAGGGTTAAACAATATAGTAGTATTAAAAAAAAAAAAACTATAGAATATATACTTATATTATATATATATAATTATATATATATATATATTATGCATTACTAAGCTGTATACGGGCATCAAATCCCCAACAGTTCACCGAAAATCAACGGCTGGCGAGGTGCGGCTCGACGCTCTCTGCTCCCCGGCTCCATAGTGCGTGCGGAGAGTAGCACGTCCTCCGAGGGACTCGAGCTGCGCGGCGCCCGGCAACAGCAGTGCTGTTGAAAAGCGACGAGCCAAACGAAGAGGACGTAGACCACCTGGGATTTTACGGATACGCCAAAACCATTCCCAAGACATACAACAAACACTTGAAAACAAACATCTTATACATATCGATGAACAACTACACCACACCCAAAAAAAGGCAAACAAACACATCCGAAATCATTCAAAAACTGCATCCAAACATGTGAGACATCCAAGTGGCCGGTGCTGTGTAGAGCTGATCAGTGCAGCTCTCTGTTGCTGTTGATTCAAAAATCTTCCAGCTAATGACCTCGTTACCTTGGATTTGCTAAACAGGGCACCCAAGAAATAAGGAACTTTGCAGTGGATACTAAAAACTGCTAAAATTGACAGCAATGTTTTTGCAATTTTTCCCATATAGATTCCGAAAACGATATGTATGAACATTATGAACCAGTGGAAAAAACAAATCACCGACTCAGCACACCCAGAGTACAGTAGCTGTTTGATCTAGGCCAGGTTGGTAAGAAGAGATCTGTCTTGCGACACCAGGATAGGCATGAACTTCTCACGTTTAAGCCTCGGTTTTTCACTCGGCCGCGTGAGAAATTCCCTCTGCATAGTAATTTAACAATTTGCTATCGAAATGGCCCACAACAACAACAACAACAACAACTACTACTACTACTACTACTACTACAACTACAACTGCAACTGATTTACCTATTATAATACCGATTACCTAAAATTGGTGATTGTCCGTGTTTATGTTAAATGATCAGAGGGTACTACTGGTTTGTCCTCTGGGATTCGGACCATCATCAGTCTGCTGGTAAACTGTGGGTTTTCCGTATCGAACGGTCTTGGTTTACCACAGGGTCTCCGAAATTGAAATCAACATGATACCAAGATAGAGACTGCTGTGATAATACCAAAGCAAAACATTGATTTGCTTGAGTGGGCCCTTAAGAAAAAAACACACATATTCCTAGTAGATCTTCTAGTCAGAGTGAATCAATTGACCAATAGGGAAGAAAAGCACGAATCGTCGACCAAAAAGAGGAGATGCTCAAGTCATCATTTTTAGATCATTCCCGGATCATTCCCTATGTTATTCTTCCACAGGAAAATCTCAGGATGTGTTCCCCAGAGTAGCTGCAGTAAAAACTAAAAAACACGCACAGATGAAAGCGTCATGGCTAGAAGCTTTGCGCCATGATCTGCAAGGCGTTGCCATCATCGGAGTGGATCTCGCAGTTACTTTTAATCCCTGTATCAATTTCTTCGATGCCTCCGCGACAGATTTGGGGATTTGTTCAACCCATGGCTGGAGACATGGAAAACGCTGTAAGGTTTGATGGAAACAACAGACATGAACCAGAAAAGATTAGGCATCAGGAAAAACAAGAACATATGTTCATCCTATGACTTCAGGAATCACAAAAAAAATGTGCGCAAACTCTTGACACCAGCCCCATTCAATCCAAAACCTGAAGAAATATCACCTACATGGAGCCTGTTGCTACTACCAACAACTTCCAATCTGGTGGTGGTGGTGGTAGTGGTGGTGGTGGTGCTTGTGGTGACAAGTATGATGAGGTGGGTGATGGTACTGGTGGCGATCATGATTTTGACGATAAGCGCAGATAAAGATACGAAGCTAAACACATGATACATAACAGTAAACATATGAAAGACACAATACTCCAACTTGAACACAACTCATTGTATTTCAAACAATGATAGTCGTGGTGACGATGAACACAAAAGGCACACAATATCAGGAAGAATACAAGTCCTCTGTAGTACCATTCAGCAACTTCGAGACCAATCTTTGGACATCTGCAGCCGCGCACCTTGTTGAAACCTAACATCATGTGGAATCCAAAAAACATTCCATCGGCTCCTTGGATTTGTTTCAGAGGTCCCCCACCCCCAGAAAAAAAAAACAAAAACAAAAACAAAAAAACACAGCTGCTTGATTTTCCTGCGGGAAAAAACAGATATATAATATTGTTTCAACCAAAAAAAACTTGATTCCTTAACTCGCATGGAACAATAACAAAACAATCAATCAAAAACATAAGACCTTCCAACTACACATATAATTACTGTAAATGGTTTTAAACCTCAATGTTTGGACACTTTTACCAATATTGGAGGGGTGGTTGGAGGTCAAACGGTAGATCCAAAATCACCATCTCAGCCAAGAGCTCGGTGTCCATCCATCATCCGTTCCTGACCACGCCAGGCTCACTCGAGCGCGCGCTGACAGGTTTTCCATCTGTACTGCCAATAGATCCGAGAAATCCATGGCACCTGCAGGGTCTTTTCGGGTCAAAATTGGTAACCATGTTGGGCCAAGAAAGGCGCCAGGTATGTTGGTTACCTACTTGGTTCCTGTTCACCCATCTAACTAATTATGTGGTTGTAAAATGTATATATAATTAACTATAAATATATGATATATGTTATATATGTTTTATATGTATCCACCTTTCAACCACAGTAAACCTAGTGTGAAATCCCCTTACCTATGTGTTGCACCAGCTTTCCTCATAGCTTTGGACCCACAACAAGTCATTGATCCGGATCCGAAACCACACATTTTTGGCTCCCGTTTTAACCAAGGTGAAGGACCTAGAGGACCTGGGGATCTCTGAATTGTGGGGTAGTTTCAATCCAGTGGTTGAAACCATCAGTTTCCATGGCCATGACATGGATATAACACATACATGCACATACTCAGACACACAGACTCATGTTGAGGGCTAGCACAAAATAGGGGGGTTCATATGTTTCACAATGAACATCTTTGCAACATGGCAGTCTCACCAAAGAAAAACTGTGGACACTTCACCGGAAGCAAAAATAACAATGAAGATTCAACCAACACCTCCAAAAGTGACCTCCTTAGCACAGGTTTACAAAGCACCAGCCCTTGTTTCAGGTCACCAGCTTGGGGGGTTGGTGAAATCGGATCCGGATATCATGAAAACCGCCATGGCGGGCCTTCGACCGCAAAAGAGACACCTAAGATGGCCAAAATCTGCAGCACCAGCCGGAGTTTGTGGCCAAAAATCTCGGCAGAAGAGCTGGGAGACGAGGACAGCACCAGAGACCTTGCCATTTGCAAGACACCTGTGAAGGAAAGGAGCCAGATGAGTAGACTCCAGAAGGAATATTGAGCCAACCTGGTAGCTGAGATGAAAAAAATAAAATCCATATCACTTCGATATGTGGGGATAATATGGATAATCCTTCAACACCTGTTTAAAGATACCAATGTTGGGTCATCTGCCCGTTGTTTGGGGATGTTTAGGACAACAAAATCTGTTCTTTTAAGGCATCAACACGAGCAGCAGCACGCTCACTTGCAGCCCCAGTGCTGCAGCATTGGCCACCCCATCATCCCAGACCATCTCAGAATCCTCAGAGAGCCTGAGCCAACGCCCTTTCACCAGGAAAAGAGAGATGCCCGAAGAAGACAGAGTCAGAAGCAGCAATCCGAATTGTCTGCAGAAGTAGCATGATCTGTATGAGGCATCTTCGCGCCAGTAGAAGCGGCTAAAATCCAGTGCTGCCAGTGGTAAAATGAACCATGACAACCTGAACATGTGCCGAAATCGATTTTAGGAATTTTAAAGTCAATGTCATCCTGCTGGTGGGACAACAACATGGATTGATTCGTGTTTGACCCGTGTTTTTCTTTTATCATTTTAAATTGATCAAGTGTAATACCGTAACTGTTGAAGATTCCTGAGTTCTGCCTCTAAAGATCAGGCTTCATGTCAGGGACAAAGAAACTTGGGGCCTGATCCCATCCGTTCCAATCCATTCCAAGATCATGGGGATTGGTTGCATACGAACCCCCCAGACATTTGCCCGTTGAATGAGAGCCTCATTGCTGTATGTTCCACATTGTTTGCTTGTAATTTCCCAGAAATGGTCAAAAGTAAACACATGCAGAAACTCCAGTACTTGGCTGGTAATGGTTTCTTGCGGAATTTTGCTGACATCAACCCTCTGTAATTATTGTTGTTCAAAATCATGCTGTCTATCTGCGCACCCTTCACAAGGGACAAGTCCATGTTGACATAGAGAAAAGGGGATGGGGAAAGTTCTTAGGCTCTTGGTATACCGCCCATTATTCAAAAAATGATGTTGGTGCGAAACCGGATTGAAACCTTCAGCGCCGGAAACTGCAGTTTGACAGTTGTCAACCATCCACCCATCTTTCGATGGTTCAAATCTGTATTTTCCAAGTTTAAAGTGGCCATAATTGAAATCCCATATTTAATTTAATTGGAAATAATTTGAATTTGTCTGATTGAACCATACGATTTGATATACCCACCTCACATGTGCATTGAATGGGAATGTGCTCAACTCCGCGACAGCCCCGGCAGAGCACAACACCTAGCACACGCATAAGTAGCCGTGCTTCTACGCTGCCAATTGATCGGACTTCTTGAACATTGTCTACCAAGCAGCACTTCCATTTAGGGGAGAATTTGTTCTTCAAACTGGTCATTTCCAAAGGAAGGTGAAGATTTCCTGTCTGAGATAGCTGATTTGATCACCGGAGGGTACAGTTTTACTTCACACCGAGCAACAAATGGGCACCAAATGAGAATGCCATGGCCAGTCCCCCGGGTTGCGCTCTCTAAGCAAAGCCCAAACGAACGAACGTCGTGCCCCGTTGGCTGCTGCAGTGCTTGATGGTTTTTGGTGCCCGCGTTTGTCGGAAAATAGGGCGTCCTACATCCACTGATGATGATAAAGCGTCTTCCCTATTGAAATTGCCAAATTCTGAAAACACAGAATATCATTTTGAGACACACCCATGGATGGGTGTAATTGAACAAACAAACATCCTACTGAGTAGATAGATAGAATCATATAGGTGGTGGGTGGCGAAGCAAAAAGGCAGAACAGCGGAGAAGCAGAGGAGCAAGGAAAAGCATAACAGCAGAACAGAGAAGCAAAAAAGTGGAGAAACAAAGAAGCAGAAAAGCAAAAACGCAGGGAAACAGCCCTCAAAATACCCGGCCCTGCTACGCAATGGGCACACGAAGATTTTAAAGAAAATAAACCAACATGTATTCAAGCTGCAAGTGTCACTTTTTCCTCCATAGGGATTTGCACCCGAGGGATCTGGCGTAGTAGGATCACATTTTCATTGTTTTATACTGTGCTATAGTCTATTATATTCTATGATATTATATATCATATTATGTTGTATTCTATTATACCATGATCTGTTCTTTTCTTTTTACAATGTTAATTTCGATGATAATATAGTCAATTATATGAATGATATTATATCATGTTGTATTATATCACTTTATATCATATTATCCATCATTATATCCCACATATTAAATTATTGTATATTGCTTTATATATATATAGACATATTTATTGGTAACTTATATTACATACCATGTTGTATTACAATATACGGTATCATATTCTATTAAACTGTGTTATATTAAATTAGTTTTTTTGGTATTATGGTATGATGTATTACAGTGTCTTATATAATGTTATATGATCTCAAATATCTTAATTTTATATCATATGTTTTTGTTTTGTCAAATTGTGTTATATCAAATTAGATTATATAAAACCATTTATAAACATCCAGAGTATACTGGCACAACATTTATAAATGTCATTTATTTTGTTTATAACCCATAAACCATGTAATATTCCATTTATTATAGGCACAATACTGGCACTCAAGAAGCCATCCAGCTGGTTTCAGGTGTCCCACCTTGGATGGCGCCGCGCCGCAAAGGTAACGACAAAGTAAAAATCCGAAGGTGCTGTGACAAAGTTTGTATAACTTTGGATATATGTAGTATATACATGTGTATATACATATATATATAATATGTATATATACATATATATATATACATGTACAAATATGTAGAGATTATTTGTTTGTCATGACTTGACATAAATGACCCCAATCTGTACATATATGTATATACAGTATAAATATATATACAATGCATATACTACATTGGTATACCATCAACTCTTGGAAGGCATTTGGGGGCCAACGAACGCAGCTGCTACTATCAAGATTTCTGGGCACTTGGTCTGAGCTGAAACAGGGCCGGCTGCAGATTGGCAGATGGTGGCTGGAGCCACCAAAGAAAATATCATCCCCGCAGTCAATGATTCCAAAGTCATGGCAAATGGGTGGACGTCTTTCAATTTTCTGGTCAGTACCTAGACCCTCGAACTCTACCTCGTCTCGAAGAATGGGGTGTTATAGCAGTTTTTACCCATTGTTTTGGTGTTTAGTATAATTTTAAGTACCCGCTTACCATCGCTTACCCATCTGATCCCATTTTCATGGATCCTTTGGGGTAGCTAGTGGCCATGCTCTTTCTTGAACAGCATCCTCGACTGACTTCATTTAGTGGCGGTGCATGTCTCAATCCAACAACTAAACTGTATGGTGAAGGATAAACATGGTAAACAAAAAAGGCGTCACATGGTGTAATCCCCGATGTTTCAAGATATTTAGAACTTGGACATGAGCAAATCCAAAGGGAAGAAAACAGTTTTTTTTCCATTCTTCCCGGGCTTCATCTGCAAAACAGACTGGAAATAGACTATGTTGTTTTCACTGAAGTGCAGGTTTGACTCGCCAAATATCGAAACTATAGGTTTTTAGCAGCTGCCAGAGAACAACATCAAATGGATCCTCTTGACTTTTATGACTTGTTTCTGGGATGGTAATCACAATTACTGGTTGGTTGTATACCTACCCCTCTGAAAAATATTAGTCAGTTGGGATAATTCTTTCCAGTTGGGAAAATAAACAATATTCCAAACCACCAATCAGATTACCTCTATGAACATCAGTTGCTGAGAAATTATCATATTTAGCACTCTTCAACCACAATTTGTCGTAATGTTTAACCTCCCAAAACGGGGAGAGCCTGTTCGGTGATGCACCCCATGGGCAATTATAATTTGGTTTACCCCGTTAACTTCAGATATACCGATATACCATATAATTTCGTATGATATATCAACCGTAATTCTATCTTGAACCTGCCGAACAAAAACAACACCTTGGCGAACTATGGGACTATGGGGCACCACCTTGTGCAAACAGGATGGATTCCGACTCCCAGCTGCCCAGCTCTGCTTTTTTTTTGGGGGTGAGCCGAAACGGGTGTGTGTGCTCAGCCATTAATGGACCATGACGTCTTATCCTGGCCACGCATGGTTCAAGACGAACCAGAGGCAGGGAGCTGAGACAAATTGGTCTTGTCTCTGGGGGATACATGGGAATAGTTCAAAATGGATAAACACGGAAAAACATAAAGCATTACAAAACGATGGAAATTGGTAATTTGGAGACAACCCATGGGAACGGATCCACTCAAGAAAAACTCCCATTGTTACACACAGTGAGAATGGATCAAGCAAGATATCTTGGCGAATGATCATCACTTCCGAAACTGAAAATAAGATGGAAATACAGTAACCCATACTTGGGATGATTCCCCTTAGCCGACCATGAACCCAGAGATCCTCCGTCCTTGCCCAAGTGCAACGAGATTTTAAGCACTAACCGCGGCCTTCTTTCGGATCTTCTTCTTTCCGGAGATGTTCTTTTGGCCCATGCCAGCCTCATTGGGATCCAGGATACCTTTTAAAGGGAGCCCTGAAGTCGACCGTTTTTTTTTTCGGCATCATGGGTTTCCAGCCACTTCCTGTCCATCCAAAACAGCTCTAAAAATGTGCAAAGTTGGCCCAAAAAAAACCAGCCGCGAGTCTCACGGCCCACCTCTTCCATCTTCATGTTGACATAGTACCTCAGCCGCGATACTGTGCTACGTGGAAGCGAGCAAGTACAGTGTGACGGGGCATGATATTCTTCATGCGACTCTAGGCCTTGTGTTTGAAAGCCTACAATGGAACATGTAAGACCAAGAGGAGGAATAACAGAGAACTTCCGATCTACAGAGCAGAAATGCCGAGAGCATCCGTGTACTTGATGGTGGAATCATAAGATCATTTAAGATCGCTATATTTTGATAATATATATATATGTTGATCGTCGAATCTCAGAATCTTTCAAATCTTTCATGGGAAGATCTGTTCAAAGCAACTTGAAAAGTTCTTCACCTTCTACCCCTGCATTAGTCTTGGAGAAAGGCACACGTATGCACCAACTCCACCAACGCAGAGCATCACGAAAAGAAGGATCACGATGGTCGTCCCATCCATACCTCTCCAGGGCAAAGGGCTAGATAGCCTTATTGTTATAAGTTAGTTATAACCAACAAATATTGGACTGGATTGAACCAACATAACTTGGGATTTACCATTAGTCAACCCTAGAAAAGCTGACTTGAACAAGAACACATTGAAGATTGAAACAGCAACACTTGGATTTGCTCAAAAAAACCCACGCAAATAAAAATATGTTCCCTATAGATTCCCTAGTGGATTTCAGTCCCCTTTGGACAATAACAAACATCATCTTCAGCAACTCCAAGAACAGCAGCTGGTGGTGAATTGTAGTGAATTCAATGTTGAGTCTCACCTTCTCCCACCGATGCTACTTGGGATTTCCCTGTGATGTATCTGATTGCAAACAAGGCCGGTGACAAGGAGTAGTTTGCGTGTATTGCAGTAGTAAACCAAAAACAACACGGGATATCGACTATAGACCTACCTAGACCCTTTATTGTGGGTAAAAGGCACACATAATGGTAATATAATGAGTATGATACCCCCATTCTTCGAGGTTCTTAGAGGGCGTATGCTGGTCTACCCGCAAACGTCGAGTCACCTAACAACCCAAAAAAATATCATTCGAATTCACGAGTCTGCAGGCACCATCTGTGATCCCGACTCAAGTCAATTACTTTACTTCGTGTGATCCCCACCATGACATTTATACGTTTTATTACTGGCAAATCTTCTGACATTCTATCTGGCATATCTTCTGGCATTCTATCTGACATATCTTCTGGCATTCGATCTGGCATTCTATCTGGCATATCTTCTGGCATTCTATTTGGCATTCTATCTGGCATATCTTCTGGCATATCTTCTGACATCCTATCTGGCAAATCTTCTGGCATTCTATCTGGCAAACATTCTGGCACTTTATCTGGCATACCTTCTGGCACTTTATCTGGCATTCTATCTGGCAAATCTTCTGGCATTCTATCTGGCATATCTTTTGGCATTCTATCTGGCACATCTTCTGGCATTTTATCTGGCATATCTTCTGGCATTCTATCTGACATATCTTCTGACATTCTATCTGGCATATCTTCTGGCATTCTATCTGGCATATCTTCTGGCATTCGATCTGGCATTCTATCTGGCATATCTTCTGGCATTCTATTTGGCATTCTATCTGGCATATCTTCTGGCATATCTTCTGACATCCTATCTGGCATTCTATCTGGCAAATCTTCTGGCATTCTATCTGGCAAACATTCTGGCACTTTATCTGGCATACCTTCTGGCATTCTATCTGGCAAATCTTCTGGCATTCTATCTGGCATATCTTCTGGCATTCTATTTGGCATTCTATCTGGCATATCTTCTGGCATATCTTCTGACATCCTATCTGGCAAATCTTCTGGCATTCTATCTGGCCGCTTAAGTCCAGCGGTGCTCACTGAGCTCGGAGGGTCCGAGGTTGAGGTCCAGCGGTGCTCACTGAGCTCGGACGGTCCCAGGTTGAGGTCCAGCGGTGCTCACTGAGCTCGGAAGGTCCCAGGTTGAGGTCCAGCGGTGCCCAGTGCGCTCAGACCCTTGCAGTTGAGGTCCAGCAGTGCCCACTGCGTGCGGAAGTTGGCGAAGAGCTTGGCGAAGAGTTGGCAAGGCGGAAGTGAACATGGAAGTGGAGTCAGAGGTGGTGGAGGAGAAGGAGGAGAAGGAGAAGAAGGAAGAGAAGAACAACTCTGATAAAATCTAACAACCCTCACCGGGCAGGTGGGGAAAAACAAATACCCACAAACTGGTGCTCCCTAGCTAAGTTGGCTACTACTGGCCTCACCAGAGTTTACATAATGGATCCAGATAGATGGGGTCTATAAACCAACTTTGAACTTGTGGGTCACCACCTGGTAACTACCCATCATACCCAATATCTCCAGTTCTACTGGAAAAAACACATCCAAAAAACATTCCGCAGTCACGACTCCTGGCGTGGGCGAATCTCCGAAAAGCGGCACGACGGCGCCGTCGCGGCCCAAAAATCGGAGCCT